CTGATGTTTTCGACGAGGCGTCCTTGTCTGTCTTCTTCTCTGTCGCCGCTGCAAATAAAGCAAGGACGTAAAACGACAACATGATACAAAAAGGACACAAAGTGGTACAGAAAGAAGGGGGCCGCGACGGTTCGATCAGGTATCGGCAGGGTAGGGGTCCGGCTGCATGGGTCGATGCAGTGGATCGATGCAGTGGGTCGCGGTAGGACTCGGTGAACTGCGATGGACTGGGTCAGGCGGCAGCACGCGAACGGTGAGGTGGACTGCGTACTCGGTGGACGGAGGTGGTAGCAGTACAACTTTTATTTGTCGCGGTCATGTCGTCCGCCGTCCCGCTCCATCCGTCGCTATAGTTGCCGTGGTGGCCGCACATCTGCGCACGGCTCAACGATGATGTGCTCAACCGAAGTGGGGCAGCGAAGTTCTGTTGTGCTGTTCCGCCACGTGCGCGTGTTGTTGTGTGGCGGCGTCCATATGCGTGCGCAGTCATATCGGTGGCGGTCCTGTCCGTGCCGCCCGTGTTTACACGCGGCCGTACGCTGCGTATTCGGCCGTATGCGTACTATGCGTACTATGCATATTCGTAGTGCTGGTATTCTTAGAACTCTGCTCCTGTACTGTTCTTACCACTCGTGTCCTGCGCTTCTGCATCCTCATCTTCGTCTTCATCGTCGACGTCCTCATCATCGTCGTCGTCCTCATCGTCGTCGTCGGAAGGAACTGGCCCCCATATGTCCTCTACTTGCTTCCCTACTTTCTGTAATATACGCGTCATTCCTGTCTCCATTGCCTCCCGCACTTGTCCTTCTTTCAATAATTCCAGACGTCGCGTCCGGGTGTCAGATGTCTGTGGCGCGCGTGATGCTTCACTGTGTACCCTGCGTGTGCATGTTGCATTTTGCTGTAACTTGTTCATCCGGGCCTTCATGTGGTCATTCCCCATTATCCAGTCATCAAATTGTGCGCCTAGTACTTTGCCTCCTATGCTCAGTTCATTCTCGACCACCCAGGTGCACGTCTTAACATTAACACCACTATGAACACTGGTCATCAAGTTTTTTAATATGTGCAACGCCTGTCGTATACCTTGATTTCTCCCACAGTTTGCTCTTATCAACTGGAACATAATTACATTCGCAATTATGCACCTGATATATGTGTCTAATGGGGTTCTTGCGGCCGAAGCATCGTATCCCCCATCTTTACGCGTCCCCCAGCCATTCATGAAAAATAATGCCGGCACCATCATTTTGCATACAACTTTGTCGTCATCATTATTCCATTTTACGTATCGTTCCGCTAACCATCCTGTATCATCACACGATTGCGCCCATGTGTCATTATCTTGTTCCATATAGTTAAGAAAGTTCTTTACCATATGTTTCATATGTTCCCATATTGCTTGCTGCAGCAGAGGAAAATTATATGTGTACGTGTGTATCTGGCTTTCCGGCCTAATATATAATATTGTTCTATTCGCTATACCTGAGCTCACAGTTCTAATATATTCCTCCTTCCATTTCTGTCTGCCCTTTGTTCTCCCTCCTAATTATTCATTTTAGGTCTTATATAGTTTACCCTCATACTAAATTACCTCATATGTTCCATCCTGTCTCCACATTGCCCTGTTGCGTGCATAATCTGCTAAGAGAGTCCCAAATGTTTGGGCCATGTTTCCTGTATGACTATAACTGTGTAATTAATTGTTACTTCATATATTACACTGCCTCAAACTAGCTATATTCTTCCTCAGATGTCCTGTGGTTGTCTTAGTACAGTAACTGTGCACACTAACAAAACACATGCCTGAACTAAGGCCTCCTGAACAGCTTTATGCTTTCATTAGAGATAGGAAAACAGCAAGGAAAAAAAGATGGAATAGACCAGGAGGGAGAAAAGAAAGACAAACAGACAGAAAAAAAAAAAACAAAGAAACGACAGGAAAAAATAGGAAAAAAGTTCACCGTCCTGAGTACAGACATTCATACTCGACCCATAACAACACCAACTGTTCAATCGTTTCGATAACCGGTTCAAATGTACATATATTCCGTGGATATAGCATTAAGCAGACGTCTTCTCCCGTCGTCCTTGTGTTGTAGAAGACCATACAAAAAAAAAAAGTTACACTACACTACCGTACACACGCACAACTCGTCATGAATACACCCCCGAACAACAACACCCGTTCTCCACTAAACGCCTTCACACACACTGTGTCTCTGTGTGCGTACACCTAAAAACCGCAGTATAACAACATCAATTTCTTCTGCCGTCGTGGCCGCCGTCGTTGCCGCCGTCCTGCCGTCGTTGTCGCGTTCCTTTTGTCGTTGCCGGTACTTGTGGTCTCCCCCACAACATATGTGTTCCGTGTGCTCTCGCGCTGTCTGCCCGCCCACATAAGATGTGTGTTCCTTGGCCTCCGCCCGCGCTCTCTGCTCCCTGTCTGTGATCCCCCTCACTCGAAATCCTTAACTCGAATCCCTTTCTCGGCCACGTCGTCGACAATCCCGCTTACTCGCCTACTTCGTCGAACCCCTTACTTGGCTACTTCGTCGAATCGTTTACTCGAACGCCGTAATCGAACCGCTTTACTCGGCTACTTCGTCGAATCCGTCTTACACTCGGCTACTGCTTCGAATATTTCTTACACTCGGCTACTTCGTCGAATCGTTGTTACACTCGGCTACGTCGTCGAATCCTTCTTACACTCGGCTACGTCGTCGAATCCTTCTTACACTTGGCCGCGTGGGTCGACGCGTTTGCTCGGAGAGACAATGTCTCCCTCCGTTCTTACACTCGGCTACTGCTTCGAATATTTCTTACACGCGGCTACGTCGTCGAACCGCTTTAATCGGAGAGACAATCTCTCCTCCTTCTTACACTCGGTCTCATTACTCGGACAATCGCGTGCACGCGGCCGCTTTGGTCGAAGCGTGTGCTCGGAGAGGCAATCTCTCCCTCCGTTCTTACACGCGGACAATCCGGCGTCGGAGCCTCCTCACTCGGACCGGCCGCTTTACCCGACCGCGTTTGCTCGGAGAGACAATGTGTACCTTCTTACACGCGGCTACAATGCGGTTTACGCGGCCGCGTGTGCTCGGAGAGACAAGCGCTCCGTATACGCGAATGCGTAGTCGCATTCTGTATCTGTTCTGCACTATACCCGTAGAATGCAGTTGCTCAGCTTTTAATAATTAACTTCACATAAAGGAGAATACTACCCCGTCATATTATTCATGTAAATCTACATTTTATATGCATTTAACCGGTACCCACCTGTTCCTATGGTCATGTTAAAAGAAGTGGACTACATAACAACAAACAAAAAAAAACAAAAGCACAAGTAAGCAGAACAGAGCAGAAAAAAAAAGACGGTATGGAATAGTACAAACAAGAAATATATTATGTATATGACATAATGAAATAAAAGTGTTGTACGATTAGCATGCGTTATGTCGCATTCATATGCGCCGTCATGCTAATGTGAACACGTTTGCAATAGCGCATCCACATATAACTCCCTCTCCTGCAGACGGCGTTCGACCTCGCAGTGTTCTATGACTAATGCCAGGAACAGTATCCATGTTTTAGCGGTTAACACTTTTTTCATGTAAGGTTGCGGATGCATAGTTTGCGACCGCGGTAAATCTCGCACTCGTAGCATATGTTCTGCGGCCATTACTTGTTCCATGTTGAAGTGTTGGTCCACGCCATGTATATCGCCTTTGTCCGGCACTGTCTCCTCCTCTACAGTACTCAACAAAGGTTGGAACCACGCCTGCTCACTGTATGTACTCATAAGCGCATGTTGATTTGCAAACCATTCTTTCCATGCGTCAAGCTTGTTTATCTGCACGGTTGCCGCTGCACCGAACTCACTGTGCCCGTATACTACGTTGTCTTCGTTTGCCACCATGTGCTCACGCAGGTATTGTTTCCATTGCGATTTCAATTGCAGAAACCACGGCTGCGTCGTGCACTCCCGCAAAAGGTGCTTGTTGCGGGCAATCCAGTTAATCCAAGTAGTGTGGTCGGGGGCCCGGTTTTAATTCCCCGGGTAAGGGGATGGAAGGAGAAAAGGAGTCTCTTCTTGTTCTAACTGTATGGTTTCCATACAACTCCATGTATCGGGGTCATTCAATGGGCATGCATCCGTTACAGCGGTGTCAGTGGGTGGATCGAGGGTGGATGCAACATTGTTCCCTGATAAATCCTGGTTTGTGATAGGAGCATCCAAGGAACTACTATACCCCTTTCCGTCCCGCATCAAATGCTGCGCAAACTCCTCCACGACAATTTGCAAATAGTCGTCTTTGACGTTTTCGCATGCGGCCACTTCACATTCGTTGAGCACCTCTAAATGTAGTTCGATGATGGTGCGCTTATGCACGCGTGGGGGGCGTTGTCCGCGGCGTTCAGCAGCAGACGCAGGTTGCGTAACCATCGTGTACCCGTAATCGGGTGGCGGCAGGTCCGCGCGTTGTAGATGCTCCAATATTTCTTCGTCGAGTGGCGGTGACGGCACGTCACGCACGGTTCGATATGTTCGTCGTCGTCTTTGTCCGAGGTACGCAAAATACTAAGCATAAAAAGGGGGGTAAAGAGGAGGGTGAGGACGGTAGGATAAAAGGAATGAACGTGGGTGTAGGAGTATATGGATTAGAACGAGCATATATTGGAGCCCGTAGGGATGTTCTGAGGTATAAACATCCTGCACATGCGGCATGCCCTCATTGTCGTGTATACGTACCTTCCAAAGGAAAAACGCAATGACGCCAATACCAACCACCGCGGGAATGATCGCGGGGGTGTACGGCTTGACATCTTCCCATGTGAGGCCGGGCGCAACGGAAGGGGTGGCAGGGGTGAGGGCAGGCCCTCCACCACCACTAGTACCTCCTCCGCCACCACCACCAACTTCGGCACCTCCGCCTTTTCCTTCCCCACCAGAAACTCCATCCGCCAAATCAGCGTCACTGAAACTGCCACTACTACCCGATTGATTTGGGTTCGGGTTGGGTTTTGGTTTGGGTGGATTGGGAGGAGGGGGGTCATCGTTGCCGCCATCAACGACGGCATCCTGAACACCGGTACTTCCTGGTTGATGATCCTCAACTTTTGTGTTTTCAGTATTTCTACTTTCCCCATCTGCAGCCTTCGTTTTGGAAGAATCACCAGCGCTATCTGTGCTTTTAGTGTCAGGTACCACTGCACTCATTGTCGGCTCATTGCTTGCTTCTTCAGTTCCTAAATGGGTATCAGGGGGAAAAGGGAAAATGTAGAAAGTTTCGAACCTGATGTTTTTGTCGGTCGCTGATGGTTGGCTGACGACACTGTCCGTCGTTGGTTGGTTGCGTGACCATTGGGCAACGCGTGGTTGCGGTGCATCCCTCGTCCATCTTGTGCACCGCGTGCCCATTGCAGCAATATATAAATGTTTTTTTTGTTTGCCCTTTTTTTCTGTTTAGTTCCTTTTTTTTATTTATTTTTTCTTTCCTTGTTTCCCCCACAGTGTCCAACATGTGTGTATACTTTTCCTTTTTCAGGTGCCTTACTTTTCTCCTTCTTCTCTTGCTCCTGCAGTAACTTATTAATAGTATCCATACCAACTCCACCAGTGGGATCATAGGTTGTGGTGGTGATCTCAGTTGTTATGACTGCAGTACCAAGTAGAGTTTCAGCAGTCTTGCTTTCAACTACTTTTCTCTCTTTCTCACCTGGTGTCGGCGCGTCTACCTTTGGGTTGTGCTTGTTTCCATCCTCGTCCACCTTAGGTCCCGATGTGCCGGCTGCGGATGCTGGTGGCTCCTTTCTACTATTGTTCCCCGGCGGTGATCCGTCCTGTGGTGGTGGAGGTGGGGGTGGTTGTCCAGGTCCTGGTCCTTGGCCCCCTACTTCCCCTGGTTGCCCTGCGGGTTCTGCCTGGGGTGAGACGGGTGCTGGTGATGGCTGCGGTGGGTCCCCAGCTTCCTCTGATCTGCCTGCGGGTGCTGCTTCTACCGGTGTTGTGGTTGCTGGTTTGGTAGCCGCCGGCTTGGCCGCTGGTGGTGTGGGTGCGTCCGGCTTCGTTGCTGCAATGAGGACAACGGAAGAAAGGTGGTCGAAAGATGATAAAAAAAAAAAGGACACAAGTGGTACAGAAAGAAGGGGCCGGGACGGTGTGTCCAGGTAGCGGCAGGGTACGGTCGGGTCCACTCGATGGACTGCGCACTCGGTGGACTGGTATGGGATGGTAGCAGTACAACTTTTATGTGTTGTTGCCGCCGTCATGTCGTTCGCTCCACACTCTTGTACACGGGGGCCGCCACCGCTCAACGTCAACGAAGTTCTCAACCGAAGTGGGACAGCGAAGTTCTGTTGTGCTGCTATTCCCCCGTGTTCGTGTTTGTGGTGGAAGCACCCGTGCGGTCAGTAGTCGGCCGTGTATTCATAGCGGCCGTATGTTCTTGTTATGCGCATTCTTACTGTTCGTGTGCTTACCTGCTAGTTCTTGAATTTTCTGTTCTAATGCGTCCTTCACTGCGTCCATGTTCTTGGTTGCTTGCATCCTTAGTTTCTCCTGGTCTTGCTTTATGTCAGTGATTTTCTCTTCATCCAGCTCTCTCGGGTTATCCATCTTCATCTTGTCCGCTGTATACTCCTTCCACTTTTTATTACAGTTCGCTCCCCCTTCTATATTCTGGATGGCGTCCAATAGTTGCCGTTCCTGCAAGAACCACTCCACGACAGGCAAATTTATGGCGTGTGCCAACCTGTTATGCTTTTCATACCCACACGCAGTACACTTGCCTTGTATAACAGGACCATCCAGTACTCCAATTCCACCTGCTCCCTCGCTCTTCATACTCTTGAATACTATCCGGGAATACTCTACACCTCTCTTGTATCCTCGGTGCCCGGTGCAATACTTTTCCTTCAGTAGATGTCCAAATATATTTGCTACTTCGCACCTGAACATATTCTCTTCTTCCGCATTCATGTGCACGCCGTCCTGCGTGGCGTTGTCTTTTGTGCCCCACCCATTTGCAAAGCCCCATGCAACACTCATAACTCTCCACCGTACGACATCTGCTACTGTTTGGTCCTTATGGTACGCTTTCCCGTCACCGAAATCATTCCAACCACTATTATAGCAGTTTGCCCCTATGGCATCCGCGAGGTGTTGGTTTGCATCCATATATTCTTTAAATGCCTTAAGTACTGTCTTCCACTTGTTCCATTGTTTATCCTACATTTTACATAGTAACATATGGATATATTCGTGCTTATATTGTACTAACATCCTTCTGTCTGAATACATGTACACCCTCACATATACGCAAGTGTTGTTATGAACAAATTCGTCTGCTTTGCATTCTTGTGTCCCGCTCATCCGTGCTGTGTCACTCATGTAACTTACATTAGGAGGAGGCACCACGTACACCGCGTTACGCGGCCGCTGCTGAGCTCTGTCTGCATCACAATCCTCTCCTTTTCCAGCCTTCCCCTGCCCCTGACCTCCTGCGGCAGCACCCTTACCAACCGGACCACCACCACCAGATGATGCCGTCGCCCCCGGTGTCACCGCGGGTCCCGGTTTCGCCGCTACTGGTGTGGCACTACGTCCGTTGTCGACGGGTGCCGGTTTGGCCGGGGCGGGTGTGGTGGTGCCACCCGCGTTACCTGCGTTACCGGTTGCTGACATGCCCGGTGCTTGTGATGTTGTTGTTGATGACGATGTAGCCTGTGGTGCCCCCGGTGATTGTCCGTGTTCTTGTGGAGTTTTCGAAGCGGAGTCCTTGCCTTGCTTCACCCTCTTCAATATATCGTCCATACTCCTACTGTCCCCCGCATCATTTATTTCCTTCAATATACTGTGTATGTCCTCTTCTATGTCTTTACCCAGTTCCTCAATTTTTTTAGTCGCTTCTTCCTTTATTTCTAGTGCACTCTTGTTTCTTTCTGCCGTGCATTCCTTCCCTAATACGCCCTCCTGCCCATCTCTCAAGTTTCCGCGATTCCTCTCAAGCCATCTCTCCATTATGGGCCATAAATTCCAATCTGCGGTGTTTTCTCCTTTTTTCTTGGTACCGTCCTTCCTGTCCGCCTGCTCACATGCCATATTAGGCTCCTTCTTGTGTCCGTGCCTTGCCAAATCCTGCGCTGCGAGAAATGCTTGCCTTCCAGCAGCAGTGTCTAAACATTTCTCGCCGACTATTCTCTTCATGAATATATTTACTAAAATACATTTCATATATGGCATGACGCCATCTTCTGCCGCTGTATTGTCCAGGTCCTCGGGCCCCGTAGTGGTTACATCTAATTTAATTCCATGTTTAAAACCTAATGCTTTAAGTGCTAGCCAGCACACAGATTTGTCGCTCTCATTGAATGTTTCCGCCTCGTGCTCCCCATCTTGATGCATTTCACACAGGGGCTCTATGAATGTATCGTGTTCTGTATTTTGCATATGCTCTTTAAATTTCTTCCACACTTCTGTGACATTGTTCCAAAAGTGTTTCTACAGGTAAAATATTCACCATATATCCATATATAAAGTATGCTACCTTGCTTATATTCCTTCCCAATATATACTGTTATATATAACTGCGCCTTGCGCGTCCTAGACATATATTCCCGTGCCCCCCATACAAATTGTACGAACGGACAATAAGAACACATACACCTTTTATATGTAGTCCTGCATTCGTTTTTAATATAGCCACATATTAATATTCACGCGTGTGGCCCAAGTGTCCACATATGTGTACTTACGTTAAAATCCTTATCATGCTGGTGCTTCACCCCTATATTCCTGTTTTTAATATATTCCTCCCATAAGATTTGTGCATATTGCGCCATTACCTGCCTGCGTGCGTTATATAATATATGACTTCTGAGGATCCTCTTGTAAATTCCACGTTAACTGAATAGTACCACAGGGACTATAATTCCCTGGGTAGCTACCCTGATGCCCATATATTTAGAGTGTTCCCTCTTTGCTACATCCCTGAACCACAATATCCCCTTAAGAACGAATACCCCCCTTAACAACAAATATCCCGTTCTGCACTAAACCACAGTAACAACATCAATTCGTCCTTCTGCGTCCTGCCGTCGTTGCGGACCTAATTGCTCCCCCATATAATATATGGGTTCCTTCTCCTCCACGCCCACTCTGTACTCCCTCCCTCGAACCCCTTACTCGGCCACGGCGTCGAATCGGTCTTACTCGGACAATCTGCTTTACCCGGCCGCGTTTGCTCGAAGAGACAATGTCTCGTGCTTCTTACACTCGGACAAGCCTTCGTCGAATCGGTCTTGCACTTGGCCGCGTCACTCGGCTACAATGCGGTTTACGCGGCCGCTTTGGTCGACGCGTGTGATCGGCGAGACAATTTCTCCCTCCTTTCTTACACTCGGACAATCCTTCGTCGAATCCTTCTTACACTCGGTCTCATTACTCGGACAATCGCGTTTACGCGGCCGCGTGTGCGCGGAGAGACAAGCGCTCCGTATACGCGAATGCGTAGTCGCATTCTATGTTTGTTCTGCACTATACCCGTAGAATGCACGTGCGCAGCTTTTAATAATTAACTTCACATAAAGCAGAATACTACGCGTTCATAGTATTCATTTAAATCCACATTTTATATGCATTGGACCTGTAGCACCCTGTCCCCATAGGTATATTAATAGAAGTTGACTACATAACAAGCACAAAACAAAGCACAAGTAAAGAGAAAGAAACAGAAGGAAGGAGCAGAGAAGAGAAACAAAAAAAGCATAAAAAGAAAAAAAAAAAAACAGTTATAGTATAATGTGAGCATAGTAATATATAATGTATATCACATAATGCAGTACAAGTGGTGTACGGGTAGCATGCGTTATTTTCCATTCATGTGCCCCGTCATCCTAATGTCGCATATTCTGTAATAAAGCATCCACATACAACTCCCTCTGTTGCATACTACTCTCGAGCTCGCACTGTGCTAGGACTAATGCCAGGATCAGTATCCATGTTTGAGCGGTTAACCGTTTTTTCATGTAAGATTGCGGATGCAGTTGTTGGAACTCTGGAGCATCTCTCACGCGTAGCATATATGCTGCTGCCATTACTTTTTCCACTTCTAAGTCGTTTTCCACTATAGGTACTTCGCCTTTGTGCGAGGCTGTCGCCTCCTCGATATTTTCTAACAAATGTTGAAACCACTCCTCTTCACTGTATGTACTCACATGCCGATGTTGTTGGGCAACCCATTCTTTCCACAACCGCACTTTCTGCATCGGCAGGGTTGCCGCATCACCGAATTCACGCTGCCCGTGTACGCCGTTATCCTCGTTTGCCACCATGTGTGCACGCAGGTATTGTTTCCAATCCGCTTTTAATTGCAAAAACCACGTTTGCCCTGTGCACGCCCGCAATAGGTGCTTGTTGCGGTCAATCCAGTTAATCCATTGGGTGCACTCCGACGTCACATGCCCGGGACTAGTAGCGGGACGCTGTTCTGGTTCGAACTGTATGGATTCCATACAACGCCATGGGTTATCTTCGTTAGGTGGAGAACGGTCCGTTGCTAACTGTATGGTTTCCATGCAACAGCATCGGTCATCTTCGTTAGGCGGAGCACGGTCCGTGTCTAACTGTATGGATTCCATACAACTCCATGGATCTGGGTCCTGTGCGTTAGGGCGCCAAGGGTCCGTTGCTAACTGTATGGTTTCCATACAACTCCATGTATCGGGGTCATTCAATGGGCATGCATCCGTTACAGCGGTGTCAGTGGGTGGATCGAGGGTGGATGCAACATTGTTCCCTGATAAATCCTGGTTTGTGATAGGAGCATCCAAGGAACTACTATACCCCTTTCCGTCCCGCATCAAATGCTGCGCAAACTCCTCCACGACAATTTGCAAATAGTCGTCTTTGACGTTTTCCCACTCGGTCGCTTCACATTCGTTGAGCACTTCTAGATGTAGCTCGATGATGGTGCGCTTATGCACGCGTGGTGGGCGTTGGCCGCGTCGTTCGGCAGCAGATGCAGGTTTCGTATCCCTAATCATCGTGTACCCGTAATCGGGTGGTGGCAGTTCGCCGCGTTGTAGATGCGCCAATATTTCTTCGTCGAGTGGCGGTGATGGCACGTCACGCACGGTTCGAAACTTTCGTCGTCGTTTGGCGAGGTAGGCAAAATACTAAGCAGAAAAAGCGGGTAAAGAGCAGGGTGAGGACGGTAGGATAAAAGGAATGAACGCGGATGTAGGAGTATATTGGTTAGAACGATCATATATTGGAGCCGGTTGGGATGTTCTCAGGTATAAACATCCTGCACATGCGGCATTCCCTGATTGCCATGTATACTTACCTTCCATAGGAAGAACGCAAGGACGCCAATACCAACCACCGCGGGAATGATCGCGGGGGTGTATGGCTTGACATCTTCCCATGTGAGGCCGGGCGGCACGGAAGGGTTGGCAGGGGTAGGAGCAGCACGTCCACCTCCTGTAGTGGCAGTACCATGACCGGTAGAATCGGTGCCTGAGGAATTTGGTTTCACAGGCCCAGTTGAACCTGCTCCAGCACCTGCTGCACCTGCACCACCTCCCCCATCACCTGCACCTCCCTGTCCTTCCCGACCAGAAACTCCATCTGCACCACCTCCTGAGGATGGTGCGCCCGCGCCGGGGACGGTGCTCCCCGATTGATTGGGGTGCGTGGTTTCTGGTTTTGGTTTGGGTGGATTGAGAGGAGGGGGGTCATCGTTTCCTTTATCGATGACGGCATCCTGCGTGTCACGCGTACTACCGTCCCCGGCGTTTGCTGTTGATGTTGTTTCTGTGCCTGTTGATTGTGGTGTGGGTTCCCCTGTAGGTACCGCCGGTGATGGTGCTGCTGGTGGTGCTCCTGGTGTTGGTTGTGCTGATCCTGCTTCTGTCCCATTCTTACTCTCTGTATCCGTGGATTCAGTATTACCTATATGTTTAAGGGAAGAACAAGCATAAGTGTCAACACTGAAGTTTGTTACGATGAATGCATGGTTGGTTGGCCATACGGTTCCAACCGGTCCTTGACAACACTGTCACGGTTGCCCACATGGTGCCACGGGGACGGCATCGGGGAACCAGCCAGGAAGGATGGGGGGCAGGCGTCGGGGAGACGGTGGCAGCAGACGGACGGTGGGGCATGGCACGTGGACGGTGCCACCCCGGGAAAAGACTCTCTCTCTCGCGCACAACACTCACAACACACAGACACACACACAGTGTGTGTCTGTCTGTCGACGTCAACCTCTGTACGTCTGTGTCTACCGGCAGCTGCCTGCCGCGGCCGACCCATCGCTGTCGCTCTGCCGCTTGCATTCTCATTGGACGTGTGGTTTCTCTCTCTCCGTGTTGTCTCTCCCGCTGTCGCCGGCAATTGTTGTTTTTTTCTTTTTTTTTTTCTGTGGCCCCTCCAGTGCCATTCCTGGGAGTATGCATAAGCGCATTGTGAGGACCAGTATTGGGTATCAGTGTGCACGGCGCAGAGCATTACCAGCAGGTCGAGGTTCCGGGGATCCGCCACCTATGACAGCAGGAGGGGAAGTCGTTATATGCTGTGGACGTAGTAATGTCTTCAACTCACTACAGGGAAGTTGTCCGGGCATAGCATGACGAGCCTTGGAAACGCTTACACTAGACCCTGTATGGGTTTCTGTTCCTGAAGGAACACCACTGGAATCCTCGTTTTCGCAGTCTAACTCACCTTCCTGTGGCTTGTTACTTCCAGGGTTCCCACCTGTCCCCTCTGCGCGCGGTGGTGCCGGTGGTGGGGGTTGCGGTACGGGTCCTGGGCCCCCCGATCCTGCTGCTCCCTGTCCCGGTGCTCCTTGATCATTTCCGTTCTGTGGTTTAGGGGGTCGTGGTGGTCTGGCTGGTGGTTCGTCATCCTCCGAGTCCTTCCTTGCTACGTTTGCTCCTGGTGTCGGCGCGTCTGCCGTCGTGCTCGTTGCCTTCTCTGCAAGGGGGACAACGCCAGATGAGAAAGATGATAAAAACAAAAAAACGACACAAGTGGTACAGAAAGAAGGGGCCGGGACGGTGCGGTCAGCTAGCGGCAGGTGCGGCTCGATAGAGTGTTTCGATGCATGCATCGACGCAGTGGGTCGACTGCGTACTCGGTGCATTGGGTCAGGCGACAGCAAGCGTACGGTGAGGTGAACTCGGTCGACTGGGTCGGGATGGATGGTAGCAGTACACTTGTATTTGTTGTTGCTGTCATCTCGTCCGCCGTCCCACTGCCGTGGCCACTCATCTCCGTCCGCTCCGCAACCGCGACCACTGCCGTCGTGGCCGTTCTACTCCCCTGCACTGTACGCTCCCCGCTCAACGAAGTCGTTTGCTGTGCTGTTGTGGCTGCCGTGTGCGTTGTTGTTGTGGTGGTGGTGGCATGCGTACGGTACGTGGCGTACGGTCAGTAATGGGCCGAACATATTCGTAGTGTTGGTATTCGTGTTCTTACCACTAGTGTTCCTATCGTTCAATTCTGTAATTTTCTCCTCTACCACTTCCGTTGCCCTCTGGATTATTTCTGCTGCATTCGTTTTCACTTTTTTGCCTACTTTGTCCTCTATCTGAGTCCTCTCTGCCTGCCTATGCTCAGTAATGTTATTTTTCAAGCCTTGCTCCTGAATATACTGTTTCCACTCTGTATTACAGGGCATTTCCCTTTGCATCTGTGCTATTTTTCCAAGTAATTGCGTGTCCTGCAATAACCACTCCACTACAGGCAAATTTATTGCTTCCACATTCCTCCTATGTCCTTCATACCCCCACATTGTGCACCTCTTGTCCGTAACAGGCCCAGGTGGCAGTCCCGTTCCTAATTTCTCATCCCCCATGTTCTGCATTACAATGTATGCATATTCGATACCTCTGTACCATTGTTGTTGGCGTTCACAATACTTCTTTTTCAGTAAGTGTCCAAATACATTCACTACTTCACATCTTAGGCTATTCTCTTCTTCCTCACTCATGTGCACGCCGTCCTGCGTGGCGTTGTCTTGTCTACCCCACCCATTGGCGAAACCCAATGCTATAGTCATAAGTCTACACCTGACTACGTCCGGTACCATCTGCTGCGTGTAAAATGTGGATGTGTTGTCCATATCTTCCCAACCAGAATTATAACAGTTTACACCATACGCATCTACGTGCTGTTCATTTTTCCCCATATATTCCTTAAAATCTTTCAAAACCTTCTGTAATTTGTCCATATCCTGTTTCTGTATTATGATCGTGGAAATACATGTATACGTATGTTAACGGTTTCAGCACAATCTACCCCGCAGGAACATTCACACGCGCATATATGCATACACGCCATGGACAAGTTGTTCCTTCCATGTATTCCTCATCCCTTTTGTTTCCTGCCCGTCACACACTCGAACTTACACCATAATTAGCTTGCACATATGTTTCCTTTTGCCTCCACTCCAATAATCTGTCTCCCTGACAATCCTGTAGCTCGGGCGGCTTCGTTGCCACCGGTTTCGCCGCGACTTCTTGTCCTCCTTTACCGGGCGGCTTGTCTGGTGCTGGTGTGGCCGGGGCGTTTGTGGCGACGGCCCCACCTCCATTACCTGCATGAGCGTGTTCTGACCTGCCCGGTGTTGATGATGTTGATGACGATGTAGCCTGTGGTTCCCCCGGTGGTTGTGCGTGTGGTGGTGGAGTGTTCGAAGCGGAGTCCTTGCCTTGCTTCACTTTCTTTATTATATTCTCCATACTTTCGCTGTCTCTGGATTTATTTAGTTCTTCCAATATTTGTTTCACCTCGTGCTGTAGTTCTTGCCCCACGTCCTCAATTTTGTTGTTCGCAGCTTTCTTTATTTCTTGTGCAGTCTTGTCTTTTTGTACTATGCATTCCGTCCCCAAGACGCCCTGCTCCCCATCTGTCAAGTATCCCTTATTCCTCTCAAGCCATCTGTGCATTATTTCCCATGGATCCCAGTTTTCCGTGTTTTGTGACTTCTGCATGCTGCCGTCCTTCCTGTCCTGCGTCTCACATGCCATATTGGGCTCCTCCTTTGCTCTGTCCCGTAGCAATGCTGTCGCAGCTGTAAATGCTTGCCTTCCACCAGCAGCCTCTAAACATTTCTGCCCGACTATTTTTTTCATAAATATATTCACTAAAATACATTTCATATACAGCTTTATATTATCATTCTTCTTCTCCACATTATTCAAGTTCTTACCTCCTCGCATCCACTTGATCCCATATTTAAAACTTAATGCCTTTAATACTAGCCAGCACACAGCTTTGTTCGTCTCACTGAAGGTTTCCCCCTGTGCCTGCGCATTTCCAGCCGGCGCTTGGTTCTTGTGACACATTAAATCTATCATTGTATCTTCGTTCTCGTCCTCCATATGTTGTTTAAACGTCTGCCATACTGTGTTCACATGTTCCCAGAAATTTTTCTGTAGGTACATGGTTCAAGATATATGCATATATGAACTATACTACGTTCACTAGTTACCGTTCCTATATATAACTTTTCAAGTCATTACACTGTCCCCTGTTCTGTCTATATAGCTGCGTGCCTCGGACAGAACTTGCACGAGCTGATAATGTGAACGTGCACATGTTGCTTGCTGTGCGTCCTCATGCTGCCCTAATATATTCATGTGTGCCTATCTAGGTGTTCCCTCTAAGTCCTCGTATATGTGCACTTACCTTAAAATCCTTATCTTTCTTACTGACTCCTGTTTCCCCCTTCCCAAGGTAGTCCTTCCATAATATTTCTAAATACTTGGCCATCCTCTCCCAAATTAGATTACATAATATGTGGATTCATTGGCTTGGTCACGTAAATTGTTTATTAACTGAACACTACCCCTCAGAACTATAATTTGCGTCATAGGTGCTTTCTTTGCTGCATACTTAGATTATTCCGTCCTTACTGTATCCCTGAATAGCAATACTGTTAACATAAATCCTTGACCCGATCAACCCTTAACCACAAATATCCCCCTTAACAACAAATATCTCCTGTAACAACAATACCGTTAAAAACCAGTATCCCCTATAGACCAAACCGCAGTAACAACATCAATGCGTCCGTCGTGGCCGCCGTCCTTCCCGCGGCTACTTCTTCGAATCGTTTACTCGAACGCCGTAATGGAACCGCTGTACTCGGCCACTTCGTCGAATGCTGCTTACGCGGACAATCGTGTTTACCCGGCCGCGGTTGCTCGACGAGAGAATGCTCCTCCTTCTTACACTGGGACAATCCTTCGTCGAATCCGTTTTACACTTGGCCCCGTTGGTCGACGCGTTTACTCGGAGAGACAATTTCTCCTCCTTCTTACACGCGGCTGCTTCGTCGAATTGTGGGTACCCTTCCGCGTTTGCTCGGAGAGACAATCTCTCCGTATACGCGAATGCGTATTCGCATTCTATATGTGTGCTGCACTATACGCGTAGAATGCACTTGCGCATCTTGTAATAATTAACTTCACATAAAGGAGAATACGACCCCTTCATATTATTCATGTAAATCTACATGTTATATGCATTGGACCTTTAGCACCCTGTTCCCATGGTCATGTTAAAAGAAGTTGAGTGCCCAACGCTAGCAAAACAAGGCAAAAGTAAGCACAAGTAAACAGAAGTAAGCAGAACAGAGCAGAAAAAAAAAAAAGACGGTATGTAATAGTGCAAACAAGAAATGTATTATGTATGTCACATAATGAAGTAAAAGTGGTGTACGGTTAGCATGCGTTATGTCACATTCATATGCCCCGTCATACTAATTTCAGAGCTTGTCCAGTAGTTCATCCACATATAACTCCGTCTCCTGCAGACGGCTTTCGAGCTCGCACTCTTCGATTACGGCCGCGAGAAGGAGCATCCACAATTTGGCTATGAGTTGTTTCTTCTGGTAGGATTGCTCATGGAGTGGTTGCGACCGTGGTACATCTCTCACTCTTAGTATGTCTTCTGCGGCCATGACATTTTCCACTTCTAAGTCGTGGTCCACTGCAGGTACTGCGCGCGTTGCCGGTACTGTCGCCTCCTGTACATTATTCAACAATTGTTGGAACCACTCCTCCTCATACATACGCATGTGCCGATGTTGTTGCGCTACCCAGTTTCTCCACAAGTCCAGTTTCTTCATCGGCACGGTTGCCGCTTCACCTAGTTCACGATGCACGTTGTCCTCGTTTGCCGCCATGTGCTCACGCAGGTATTGTTTCCATTCCGCTTTTAATTGCAGAAACCACGGCTGCGTCGTGCACTCCCGCAGAATATGTTTACTGCGGTCAATCCAGTTAATCCAATGGGTGCAGTACGACGTCACGTGGTCGGGTTTGGAATGAGCACGACGCTGTTCTGTTTCGGTATGTATGGTTTCCATACAACTCCAAGGATCGGGGTCCTGTTCGTTAGAAGCAGAAGGGTCCGTTGCTAACTGTATGGTTTCCGTGCAACTCCATGCATCGGAGTCATCTTCGTTAGGTGGACAATTGTCCGTTGCTAACTGTATGGTTTCCATACAACGCCATGGATCGGGGTCGTCTGCATTCGGTGGTAATGGATTTGTTCCGTCGGAATCGGTGGGTGGATGCAGGGTTGTCGAATCATGGGTTGCTAAAGAGGCGTGCGAGGTCGGAACATCCAAGATTCTACTGCACATAATCGGGTCCCGCTCCAAGTCACGCGCAAACTCCTCCAAGACAATCTGCAAATAGTCGTCTTTGACGTTTTCCCATTCGGCTGCTTCACATTCGTGGAGCACTTCTAGATGTAGCTCGATGATCGTGCGGCGATTCACGCGTGGTGGGCGTTGTCCGCGGCGTGCGGGTGTTGACGCAGGTTGCCTATCCCTAACCAAGGTGTACCCGTAATCGGGTGGCGGTAGGTCGCCGCGTTGTAGATGGTCTAGAATTTCTTCGTCGAGTGGAGGTGATGGCACGTCACGAACGGTTCGATACGTTCGTCGTCGTTTGGCGAGGTAGGCAAAGTACTACAACAAAAAAAAAGAAAAAGAGCGATGTAGAAGAGTGCATTTGTTGGCATCATCATGCAAGGGAGCTACGTAGAAACACACTGCTATGGTACATATGAGGGATGCGCATTGCCACTCGGTTATATTTGTGCGTGCTTGTGTGCGTTGTGGCTGTGCTTACCTTCCAGAGGGAATAACCCAGAAGTGCGACGGTGACGGCGGACAGGAAGAAGAGTACGGGAGTAGTGGCGGTAAGGACGTCGGCGGTTAGATCGGGAAAGAAGGGGCCGTTATGCGGCCCACCTTGGTCTGTATTGGATGAACTGGATTTATTTTCTGGTAAGGTTGGTGGTACAAAGCCCCCCCCTAAGGCCTTCGCTGTCAGGCGTGGAATTATGTTATCTAAGTCGAAGCCGCCAGTGGCCTCACTCTTGGTCTTCCCATGGCCACCGCCCTGTCCCCCCCCAGCAGAAACACCAACTCCAGCGCCTCCTCCTCCGCCACCACCACTACTACCTCCTGCTCCTGCACTTCCGCTGCCGGCGCCGCCAGCATCCTGTTCATCACCCGCACCGCCCGTTGCTTCCCCACCAGAAACACCACCTCCACCAGGACCAGTGCCGCCGCCGGGGCCGCTGGGGCTGCTCCCCGATTGATTTGGGTTCGGGTTGGGTGGTGGTTTGGGTGGATTGAGAGCAGGGGGGTCATCGTTGGTGCCATCGGCGACGGCATCGCCTGAACATTTGGTGAATGGGGAGACAGGGAAAGGGAAGGAAGAAGTATGATGAAACTGAAGTTTTGAAGTGCGAGATTGTCCACGTTTGCCGCTTGCCCGCTGTCCGTCGCTGCATTGTTCGACCACACGGTGGACCACGGTCGGTCGGCTACACGGTTGACAGCATGGGTGCCACGGGGCAGGAGACGGACGGGAGACCGCGGCCGGTGCAGCGCACGGAGCAAGGTGCCACCACGGGAAAAGACTCTCTCTCTCTCCCACACAACACACACAGTGTGTGTGTCGGTCTGTGTCGACATCTTTCGACGTCTACGTAGCTACCCGTCTACTTGTCTACGCCTCGTTACCTCCCGCGACCGACCCGTCGCTCGGCCGCTTGCATTCTCATTCGACGTTGGTTTTGCGCTCCCTGTCTCTCTCCGCAAGAGGTGTGTGTTGTTTGTGTGTTTTTTTCCCCTCTCTCGCGGCGTCGGAGTGCTCAGGACTGCTGTTGCGTGAATAGAGGTTCCTCTGTGCCTACAAGGAGGGACCCTCAGTAATACTGTGTACTTTGTCGTGCCCATTATCAGTACCTGCAGGTGTTCCCTCAGGGACATTGATAGTGGGTGGAGACGTATGTGTGGTTATTGTAGTTACTTCTGTTGTGCTAGTAGCACCTGGGACAACCCAAGTACCGTGACCGGGTTCGTCCGTAGGAGTGCTAACATTTGGTACTGCCGTGTTCATTACTTTTTCAAGGCATTCACCAATTTTGGTATGGTCATTCCCCAATTTCTCACATTCGTTCGCGCTCCTGGGAGATTCCTGTTGAACACTGGTGCTTTCTGCAATTACTACTGTGGTCTTACCTGATTGTGTGCTTGCGAGGTCCTCTGTTGCCTTCGGCGATGATGATGGTGGTTCTGCCTGGGGAGAGATGGATGCTGGTGGTGCCGGTGGTGGGGGTTGCGGTACGGGTCCTGGGCCCCCCGATCCTGCTGCTCCCTGTCCCGGTGCTCCTTGATCATTTCCGTTCTGTGGTTTAGGGGGTCGTGGTGGTCTGGCTGGTGGTTCGTCATCCTCCGAGTCCTTCCTTGCTACGTTTGCTCCTGGTGTCGGCGCGTCTGCCGTCGTGCTCGTTGCCTTCTCTGCAAGGGGGACAACGCCAGATGAGAAAGATGATAAAAACAAAAAAACGACACAAGTGGTACAGAAAGAAGGGGCCGGGACGGTGCTGTCAGGTAGCGGCAGGGTACGGTCGGCTGCATGGATGGGTCGGCTGCATGGATGGGTCGGCTGCATGG